ACACTTGACTCAGCTCATCGGCTGCCTCGTCGTAGCTCTTCACTAGAAAGTTACGGGATCCCTGACTGAACAGCTCCTTGCCCTTCAGGATTTTTTCGGCACGTATTTGCTCCGGATTTAAAGCACTTTCTGAAGGCTGCTTATCGGGCGTGGTGTCCGCAGCAACGGGCTCATTGGCTGTTTTCTCTGGCGCTGCATCGGCAGCACCGGCCGTGACAATTGCTTCTGCTTCAGCGGACATTTTAACGTTTCTCGTGAATTTAACTGCAATGGGATAGAAATATTATATGTGAATTTGTTTATAGCAAAATATTAAGTTGTATTATAAACATTTATAAATATTGCATTTTTTGTTTTTTGTATTTTTGTAATGCATTTATAATTACAATTACATTCGCTTAAACACATAATAGTCTGGCGCCTAATCCAATTTGAGTCCTTAAGTAAATCCCTTGCTCCCACAACTGAATTCCAACAACTTTTGTAGAGATTGTGCCCTAGACGTCACTTTCGATGTATGTAGCGAGACCGAAGAGAACCGCAATTTAAAAAACAAAATAAACAACAATTTTATCCACACGTTTTACTCGTATTTTTCGCATTTCGTATCACAGCCAAATAGCTAGCTTACTGTCCAGCCGCAGCTGTCACAGCACATACATATGTACACAAATTCATTTATCTGGCTCACTGATTCACACGCAGTGGCTTAAAGCGGCATCGCCTCACCTCACGCTGCCCGCACCTTTCACAAGTCATTAACACAAATCCCCAATCGAGAAGGATTCCAAAATTGCTGAAAATCCGGGTGTGCCAGAACTGTAGATGCCCTACAAGCGAGAAGTTAGTAACTGCCCACAGTACATTGGGAAAGGGAATTTATCGAAGTTATTTATAATGAATATATCACTCTAATGTTTAAAACACAAACTGATTTCCAGCATTTTTAGTATGTAAGAGTCTCCGAGAGCCAATAAAAACCTTTTTGTGCTATACACTTCTATAACATCATGTTGCCTCGTATTAAACCACACACAATGGGTATAAAAGCCGAAAGAGCAACAACTACCAGAAATGGGTACAATAAACGTCCGTGAATCCACCCAGGCAATGACATCAAATGCATATAGTAATTACCAGCAGTTCCTGGGTTTAATGCCAGACCATTGTCGATATCGAACCGCACACGTGTGTCCCCCGACCCCAATCAGCTCACCATGTTCGTTGGGTCGCCTTGCGCACGTATAAGAAAAGAAAGCAACAAAAAATGGGTCATCGTGTGGTTGGGGCTTGGATTTTGCGCTGCATGGGTGGTGCTCACCCACTCCACCTCCTGCAGGCATTGTAAATCGCAATTGCCACTTTGGTTTTTGGACGAGTTAGTTCTAAAGGCTGCCGCGGTGGGCTTTTAATTGGCCCAGTTAGTGTAGCGCATGGAGTAATTGGTTTTATCAGTGTTTTGATTGCGAGTATTATGGGCTAGTTGAAATTAATGGCACGTGCCAGATGGATTTAAGGCTCTTGAGCGACATTGAAAAGCGAGCATATGGGGCAACATGAGCAAAAAGATAGAAATTGGTATATATCGAGTTAAGCCTAACTAATGAAATACTGCAAGATATAAAAGTCAAACATATAAAAGGTTATACATTTGGTCATCAAAAGTCATCCAACAAATATCTAATATCTAACATAATCCCAAGCTTCTATATCCATAACACAATCAGCTTATATGTGTAGCTCTCGCTTTCGCTTTCGCTTAACAATTCATTCTTTATGTTTCGTCAACCTTTGTAAATGATGTCAACTTGAATACATCAAAGTAAAAGCCGCAGCTAATTAAAATTTGTCTTGATTGAAAAAAAAAAAAAAACACACACAGGAATGCAAAACCTGTCCATATCCTGCTCACTAGTCTGTCTCATCATTCTGGGCAGCGCCGCATTGGTGGGCGCCTTTGGCGTGTGCCAGCGCCAAATAAGCGCCATCCTTATTACGGGCGTCATGTATCTGCTTGCTGGTGAGCTCAACCGGAAATCCGACACCGGAATGGTATCCATTTGATCTCAACTAATTTCCTTCTCTGTTCGCAGCTTTATTTGCGCTATTCACGCTGATGATAATTCACTTTAAGCGGCAGCAGGGACGACCCATGCTGGACAGCGACTATGACGGCACCGTCGATGGCATTGTGGCCCGGCCGGGAGGTGTGGCCATTGTGGCCAAGCCGTTGCTGGGCGCTCGGGTATTTCTAACCTCGTGGAGCCTGGATCTGGGCTGGGGCGGCGTAGTGCTGTGCGCCATCACGTCAGTGCTGTGGATTCTGCTCTCGAAGATCATGCGCTACAACCCATTCTCGGCTCTTATGATTTAGCTAAACGCCCTGCCGCTCGGCGGCTATGGGAACTATGATAGCTACGATAGCTATAATGGCTATTATGGCAGCTACGGCAGCACCAACAGTAGCAGCAGCGGCGCTAGCGCCAGTTTCCTGCTGGCGGGCGCCTCAACGTCGACGCGGCATGCGGAGCACCGGGGCAAGGGCAAATACATACTCTGAACTGTCCCAGATCGCAACAAACAACAAAAACCTTGATTTAACTCTCCTGCTTCCACACTGTATGTTTAACGGTTTATCATTTCGATTTGTTTTGAATGCGCGCCCTTTACTCAGTTAACAGTGTTGGAAAATGTACCAAAACGCGACAACCGCAACAAATCAATTGCCTTGTTCTTATATTATATACGTATACTTATAAAACAAAAGAAACTTTATCTGAAATTTATTGTAAATCAAATTTACGACTATCTATCTATCTATATGTCTATATGAAACACTCGCAATTTTTGTATACATTATCTTTAAATACTTAGCTAATCTACACCAAACAACTTTACACACGCACACACATACACACACACAATTATAGGCCACAACGACATTTGTTATATAGATTTGAGATGGTTCGGGATTTATTTACAAACTCCCAAACTGGGCTTTTGCTTCTGAAACGCTTAACTAGTAAAAATTTCGCTTGCTTAGCAAATTTCTAGCATATTTCAAGAACTAAACTTAATGGGCCTTTTCAAAATTCCTGGCTATACTAGTTTGTGTGTTTCCAAACAGCATTAACCAATAGATCAAACTAATACAACTATCAAAATATATAAATACTATTCATAGAGTGCTTTAAGCTATGGTTTACAAAACTTATTCTATTTGTATAGGTGCATCCACTTGGAAAAAAACAAAAAAAAACAAACAAACAAAGAAAACCAACAAGTGTATTTTTATGCAATTGCTTTGCCTTAAACAAAAAATTAAAAGACAAAACCTAATTATATTAATTAAAATTATTTAAAACAACATTAAAATTGTACAATTTCTTTTGGGACTCTGAAAATTGGAAAGACAATTACGATCGATCTATTTATAAAGCAGGCGACACATCTGCCGAATGTTTATTAAATTTTAAATGTTAAACAAAATATCAGGCAAGAAGCGAACGAAGGTTCATTAGCATTGAGCACGACTGTTGCTGCTGCGCTGCGTCTGCGGCTGCGGCTGCTTAAGCAAATATGTAAATGAACTCGCAAAATAAATTATATATAATATTGAAAAAAGAAGTTAAAAAAGAGCCCGCCAAATTCAATAAGTTGCAACGAGGATCTGAGGATCTGGGTCAGGGGAGCGAGTCATACATAGCTCAACAGATAAAATGGCTCAAGTTGTTTTATTAGCACACACTGCAAACAATTAAATACACACATCTATATAAGCATGTACGTACGTATGCATGTATTTGTGTACATGTGTAAACGGCAAAGAGATCGAGATTACAAAACAACGCAAAAAAGTTCATTCACCTGTGTGAGTGCGTGCGTGTCTGTGTGTCTGTTTTTTTTTTTTTTTTTGCGCGCATCGCAACGCGTTTGTTTTTGCGCGTGTGTGTGTGTGTAAGCCCGCCATTCGCCGCCTGCTACTGTCACACGCTGAAAGACACACACCGGTAACGCTAACGGACTTTTTTTTAACCCAAAAAACTACAAAAACAATTCGCATCTTCGCAGACAACAAATGGAATTGCAACAATTTATAGCGATTTTGTACATTAGATTCGCGAATCCGAAAATTCGCATGGTCGACCTTACATGTGTGTGTGCCGCTATGCATGTTTCTTTCAGGCGCCTAAATAAGCAATATTTCACTTTATGAACACTTACCTGTAGGTGGAGAATCTTTAACAAAAAACAATTAACAAAATTTTCACAATTCGAGCACTTAAATTACGCTTATTTGCAAAAATTATATGAGTAAGCGCCGCGAAATGCTAAAAAAGATAGATGAATTGTCGCTGCTTTATCGATAACTAAGCAACGTTTGTGGTCACACTGTGTATAACTTATCGATAGCTGCTCAAAACACACCAAATTATATCATTAATGAATGATCAAAATGTGCTCTTCTATTAGCTTGATTAATTTTACTAACTACTAACACTGACCAGAGAACACATAGACTAGACATGTAGAACAAACTTTTTCAACACCGAAAAAATGCGCTGAACGGACCGGACAACTTCGTATTTGGTCGGCTCGGTCTTCTGAGGCTCAAGCAGTGAAAATAAGGCAAGACAAAATCAGTGTGCTGCGACTGCTGCCACGAAATGCACGCATTAC